CAGTGGTTTTGTTCAGGAGCTGAAAGACACCACCAAAAAGAAAAAAGAAACGAAACAAAAAGCACTCAGGAAATAAAGAGACAGATGGGATTACAAGACTCAAGTTCAGTTCAAAGACAAACACTGACACATAAGATACAGAAGGCTGAACTGTCTGCTACTTGCTTCTCTCCTCGAGTCTTTACAAAGCTGTGAAGAGATATAACAATATTGACAGAAGCAAGGCAGGAAAATGGTATCCAGTCAAGCTCACAATGGAATATGTCAGAGAGAAGAGTCAGACAAGCTGAATGTGTCTGAGCTGCAGAAGGGTAGCCAGACCTTGTAAGAAAAACCACACTCACCTCAGCTTCGGGGACTGGAGGCAAAGCCTTGTGAGCAAAGATGGAGAGAATTAGGCATGTTCAGCCTCAAGAAGAGAAGACTGAGCGGGGATGTGATAGCACTGGACAAATACCTGGGAGAAGAGGACACGTTCGCTTCTCATCCATCCCAGAGTGCAGGACACAGAACAGATAGAATAAATCTGGTTCCTTTATGTTAAAAGGAGCCAGATTTACATAGGCACTAGGAAGAATTTCTTCACTGTCAGAGCAGTACGACCATGGAACTGAATACTTGGAGAGGTTGTGAGCTCTTCCTCGTTGGAGGCATTCAGGAAGTGTCTGGACAGTCATCGGAATGGGATGGTGTAACTTAGTGTCCTGCAATAACAGAGGGTTGGATCCCATGACCTTCTGCCCCCTTCTGGCTCTACTATTCTGTGATTGTATGATTCACCCCTTTCAGATTGGATCAAGAAAGTTTGAGCAAGAGTGTGATTAACAAAGTTTACCTGTTTTACAGGAAACTTAATCTAGATCCTACATAGATCATTTTCTAGAACAATTGTCTTTATTTGTCAGTTTGGGGAAACATAAATGCTGACATATTATACACCCGTTTCCTCTCTATTATAGAAATACCTAATGAGTGGATCTTGCATTTGCTCTTGCTACCAGAATCTCTCCCTGAGTCGAGTCGTGTTCCAACCAGTCAGAACAACTTTCTAAGATCTGACGGGACTTCTGCGAGAGGATTTCTGTTACACCAAAATGTTGAAGATACCACAGCCCACGTCCACGTCCCTAAACAAGCGTTTTCATACAGATCTGTCCATGTGAAACCCAGTGGTTTTATGTAAACCTTAAAAAGCAAGAGATCCAAGCTGGATCTTTGCAACCCTCCAAGAGCTGCATCACCAGGCATGGACCACCTACAGGAATCTCCAGAAAGGAACTGAAATATGGTACCTCACAGCCTCATCCCAGCAAGGCAACCCAAAAAGCGTGTTGGATGGGCTCTCGTGCCGCTTGAGAGATCACCCACCCAATCTCTCTGGGCGAAGGTCATCTGATTTCCAAAGTGAGATTGGAGGCCTTCTTCATTATGTTCACTGCAGAGTAGGATGGACAGCGGGATAATACAGTGCCCTCCACCCTGGGACCTCTATGCATGTGAAGCTGTAGCCCCTGGGTACTTCCACGGAGAGAACCACTTCCCAAAGTGGAGCAGGAGGGTGTGCTTCCCTTTTTCCAACACCCCTCTAGATTCTGGTGCAGCAGGCTGAGAAACCCTTTAGACAGTTATGCATGGCAAAGACAGGAGAAAGGCTCTTTGACCTGGCAGATTTGTGCTAGAACATCGGTGGATTTGTTTAAGAGACAAGAGATCTATCAGTCGTACCCCTTCCTAAGCATGGAAGAAGGGTTCTCAGGACTCCTGTAATCAGCCAGCTGGAGACAATAGCTCAAAGCTGGGATTCATTCAAAGATACGCTGCCTGCGGGTACAAAGCTTGGGTTAATATTTGTCATGGGGAAGTTAAACAAAGGCTTATGAGATAAGAGAACGGTGGACATCACTTTGAAGTCCCAACTGCTGAGAATTGACACAAGGCATGGGGGAATCCACAAATTCTTACCGCTACCACGGAGTCTGGTTCCCAGAAGAGAAAACTTACAAGGAAATTTTGGGCATGTAGCTCAAACCTGCATCACATCACCATCAACTGAGTTTGCCCCTCAGTGGTCCCACTGGCCTTCCCATTTATCAAGCAGGGGCTTTCCCGTCACAATGATTTGCCAAGGTGGCTTATCACTTCGGCCTGTCTCATATCGTTTTCGGCTACAAAGATAAATCTGTAGATTTAGACTACAGCAAAAAGGAGATGGGCGAGTTGGGCAGGCCGCCTGCAGCAGAGCGAGGGCTCCCAGTGTCAAAGCAGCAAGCGGGGCAGTGACAGAGCCGACTTTTCGCTGGGGCTTCCTTCTTCTGCCTAAGCAGAGCTCGGTCCTCCATGTGGCTGTGGGCAGGGGAGAGCAGCACACCTCTCTGCTGTAACAAGAAGTATTTCTGTGTGTCTTGAATGAGCCATTGAGCCCTGTTACCGATGGAGATGAAAACGGCTAGAATGGGTGGGGTATAGCTGGGCTTGAGAGTGCGGCTCCTTCCCGATTTAGAAGGAATGAACCAGTCATCAGAGTTTTTATTTATGGGCAGTGGCGGTAGGGAGGTTGATCTGCATGCTGAACATTCTGCTTTTCGTAACAGCGGCGCCCTTCAAAGGCCAGCAGCTCTGCAAAGCTGCCTGCGGAAGGGTCGCAACGGGGAGCTTTCTTCGGGCATCATCATGATTAGTGATAGCAGCATTTTTTGTTGTAATACAAGACAACCAACTTCATTGCTTTGGATGCTAGTTAAGATAATTTAGCTGATCATTTTGAACCTAGCCCTGGTCCAGATGATGCAACCTGAGTAACCATCAGGGCGCATCTAGTGATAATTGTGTGCATGGAATGGCTCTCCTAGGCAACTTCCAAAAACTATTCCTTTGAGGGTTACGGGGGGGGGGGGGGGCCCCCCCCCCCCAGAGCAGATCTGGTGGTGAGAGAAGTCCTCCCAGAGGCCCATCAAAGATCATCATTAACACCAGTAACATATGACACTTAATGCAATACTGTGACAAGCCGAGGAAGTCAACTGGATAATTGGAGCAATATTGCAACTCACACGTTAAATTACTAAAGGAAAAGTATCTTTCCCAACCTATCCGAAGTCTAAATGTTTCTTGAATATACCATAGTTTAATTTGCAGAATTAACGTGCATCTTTGCTTCTTCCTGCAGGCAAGAGAGCTCCAGGCCTCCCTCCCTCCCTCCGTTCCTCTCTCAATCTTTCACGCAAGCACGCACATGCACACAACACAAAGTATATGGCCCCGAGTTGTGCCAATGATCAGTTTGTCAAAAGTTGCCACTGAAGACCTCCAAAGCTTACTTTCACTCTGGGACCTTTCTTCAGACATTGTGCTGTAACAAGAACATTAAAAATCCATTGAAGGGCTTTCTAGATTTGGCTGGAATCCCTCTGATTCTCTTGGAAGGAAGCAGAAGTGTGCCAATTAGCACAAGAGGAGTGGGTGAACGGCACCTGTGGCCTGGAAGGGCAGAACGCAGACGTCGGTGGGCGATGCTTACTGAACATTTTCACACATTAAATGATGTTATTGAGATACTGGTATGTCGGGGGCTGAGGGGTAGAGAGAAGAAAAACCGGAGGCCAACAACTCCGGAGAAAGTGGGGGCTTGCACAATATTGTACAGCTATGCCGAGTAAAATCTCTGTTAGGAGATGAGGCAGAATGATGTGGATAATTCAGGCAGCTCCAACACTATCACACAGAGCAAGAAAAGGAGGGAGTGCTAATTAAAGGATCGTCTACACCTATATATGCCTCCCCAGTCTTTTAATATTGTGAGCTGCCTAGGGATGCTGCTAGGCAGCAAATAAAGAATTGGCCATGCTTGAAGTTGTAGGTCAATCATAATCTTCAACACAGATTTGATTGGCTTTATTTCTTCCATTATTGTAGCTAATGGATCGTATCAACTGAAAGCCTAATTTATATTTATTAACAGTTATTTACCCATAAGAGGAACCCACAGGTGAGCTGGACTGAACATCTACTATTATTCATCCTTATTTCCAAAAATGAAATTCACAATATAGTGCATGATTCTGTTGCGGTGGGAGATTCTAAGTATAGACTGGGTAGTAGAAATTATGGCTGGAGGGGGCTAGAAAGACTCAGAAATATGGGGTAGTAGAAGGGAGAAAGGAGAATGTCGGGAAGGGAAGGATAGAGCAGGGCTCCACAACCTTTTTTGAACCAATAGCACATTTGGAAATTTAAGAAACTGTTGCCGGCACCACCACAAAATGGCTTCCACAGAGCCACTTCAGCCTAGCTGGTCAAGCACTGAACGGGTCAACTCCAAAGAAGTCCATATAACTGGTCACATAGAAGCACAATCAATACCCACTTCAGGTTACACTTATGAGCATTTTGCATGAAAATCAATTTCTTCTGAGTAGGACTGTATTGGTTTGTATCCAGATATACATCTTTCCCTAGCCCCAAAGGAAGCACAAATGCCCACAGCTCCCCCAAAAGGAAAAAATGTTTTTCCCTCCTCCTCTGCCATCCAAGCTACCATCCTAAAAGGTATGCTCTGTGTGTGTGCACGAGTGGGAAGGAAAGGAAAAACAGCAAGACTAGGGGCTGAAACAAGGGAAAAAGAACAAAGGAAAAAGTGTGCCTAGAAGGAAGAGAAGATGGCAAGATAAATAACAAATCCAGAGGCCAGGACTAATGTTATACTGTACAACTTAATAAAACCACCCAAATGAAAAAATATTGGACTTGAGGAAATATGCAGGGGGTCTCCACTGGTTACCTAAAATGGCTTGTTTCTACTGAAGTCAACAATGACTGCTACAATTGTCGAAAGATGAACATGCATGAAACAACCTTATTGTAACTATATTTTTTGTGATATGTATGTTGTTTGTTGTTTCCTTTGTTGCATAAAATTAAGGTAGTCAGTCCTCATGATTGTGAGCTGTGTTGGAACATGTACGGCACAAAACCCCAAGAGACCGCTGCGAAAGAAAAAAAACTTATTTCAAAGTCTTTACTGTACATGTTGCCATAATGAGAATGTCATACAGTTCATTGACTGACTTTTTTCATTAACCATACAAAACCAAGAATGTTCAAAAGATTACTCACAAATGTATCTTAAATATCCTATGTACAACATTACAAATATTATTATTAGAGCCACAAAATCAATTTTGTACTGTTTCAGCAGGCTAAAGTATAATCCAAAAACCATGCCCAGACCTTTAAATTGTCCAGGAAGAGATAGCATGTTTATTCTATTTCATTTTGTAAATTGAAGTGCTTCAATAGATGAGGTCATGATCCTGACCCCACCTATCTTTATATAAGGCAGCTAAGTTGAATCATTCAAACAGTATCTTACAAAAAGCAAAACTGATGGCTTTCAACTCAGATACGGACCTGAAGTCGCACTAAAGAGAAAATTTTTGGCTTCTTATTTGAAATCTTTAGGAAACCTTAAAGGTTTCTGAAGCAGCACAGAAAAATACAATTCCATCCTGACAAGAAACACAATATTGAATAAATGCTTCTGTTGAGCAGAACATCTTCATTCTTCTGGTTACATCAAATATTATCTCAACTGCTGACTGGCAGGGTCTAGCCATGAATGCCAGATAACTGAAGGCATAATTAAGGAGAAGGGTCTTCACCTCGAATAGCTTTGTACTTTGCCATGTCTTCTGGGAACACTTTGGTCAGCTCTTGAATCAATAAGCTTTTGAATTTCTAGAATAAGAAACAAATTCATGTAAGCAAACTGGGCTTTCTGTTAGAACTGAAAGCAACAGAACCAGACAGAATCATTATAATTAGTCCTCCGTTCTTCTACTGAAAAAGGCACTCAGCCACCTCCTGCTTCTACCCAGCTGCTTTGAGAACTCTTCTTGCCTCAAAAGGAGTCTGTCAGGGTAGTGCAGCACGTCGCCTTTTGAGAAGGCCAGTCAAAAGGAGGACAGGCCCCACAAAACTGGCCACAGGGTTCCTCCATCGTGCATCAGATCTATAGTGAGTAACGAGTCTCATTTGCGGCCTCAGATGTTTCATTACTACGATTTATATCCTCCCCATCAGTGTAAAACACATTCAGTGTGATTTCCAAAATAAAAGCTGAATTGCCCCTAACACTTTTACGGGAGTCTAAGCCGGAGGCTGCCAGAGCGCAGACAGCTGTGGCCAAGATATCCCTGCCCAGCAGGGGTTGCAGCTGCTGCACTGGCATCAGGTGGCAGGGGGCCCAGTCACTTGGGCCTCCAGGGCTGAACCTGGATCCAGGAGTACCCCCAAATCGTGAGACCCTGTTGCAACATGCTGAGCACATCATCTCAACTAAACAAATGGCCAACCACTTCAGCCTTGTCCACGCCAAGCGTCAACTCTCAGCTTCAGCTTGTAGGCCCTCAGCTAGCCTCTTGCCAAGATTTAGTACGTCCACTTCCTCGTCTGAAGTAGAGGCCATCAGAATACTGGCAAGGCCTCACTCGAAATCCCCAGATAACTTCGCTTGCAATTTCTGATGCTCCAGAATGATGGGGGATGAGACAGAACCCCGTGGGACCCCATTAAGGCCATTGGGCCACACAGCTCTCCAGCATACTTTCTGGAGTCAACATGCTGGGCTGAAAGTGAGCAGCGGAAAGGCAGGGCCACCCACGGAGAGCCGATCCAGAAGAACGCCATGGGAACAAAGCCTGCAAATATGTACAGGCAACTGCACAGGCATTACCCGAGGATGGAGAAACCACCTACTCAGCCTGAATAGCTTCCACCACACTCTGAATTATGTCTGCATGCACAAACTCTCATTTCATGAACAGTTTGATTAGTGCCAATAGTCAGAGATGAGGCAACACCCGTCTTGCTACATATACCTGTACATTTGACCACAAGCCTTCATACCTGTAGCTTGCAATACCAACGCCATGGCTACATTCCGGAGTTAAGTTCTGACCCAATAACAGATATGTCACATCCAGTTATTTAGCCAGCTACAGCGGAACCTCGGCTCACGAACTTGATCCGTCCCAGGACTCTGGTCGTGACCCAAGCTGGTCGTGAGCCAAGCCAAATTTCCCCATAAGGGTCAATGTAAACGAGGTTAATCCATGTTGCAACTATTTTTTTTACTCACAAAAATTTGGGAAGGTGGGCGCACTTGAGATCACCACCCGATGCGGAGTTCACGACCTGTGGCAATTTTTTAATGAAAGTTCTGTTCGTGAGCCGATTTGGTCACGAACTGAGGCGTTCGTGAGCCAAGGGACCACTGTACTTAGCAACAGGCCTGCAGTGCAAGTAAGGAGGTATCCCGGGCAGCTACCTGCAGAACTATGACGGGATGAAATGCGCCCACTGTTAGTCCTACTTCGGGTAGATCCAGTGAAAGGAATGGGTCTTCAGTTGGGGCAGATCCACTGAAATGCACAGCTAAGTTGAACTAACACTGAACGCAATCGTATGAGCTAGCTGCGACGGACAGAGCACTGGAGCTCTGAGTGTTGAGTGCTTGTTACACAATTCGATACTTCAGCTATAAATAATGAAGGCCTTCCACATAAAAAGTCGAAGAGCTCCACTGCCCTTCTGGCTGCTTTAATACGACCACCATTATTAAGGAATACAGGTAGAGATATATTTGTGGATATATCTGTAAACATCTATTTTCATCTTACCTTCATTGTGTCAATTTTGCCTTTCACCTGTTCATTTTTAGCTAGAGCCCTTTCCAAACATTCCTTCGTATACAGCTGAGGATTGCGACCTTGGTCTATGTATCTGAGGAAATAAATTTAAGTTAGATGTGACAGCAATGCTCACACACTCTAAAAAGGAAATCACACGCATAATGCATCTATGACCCTTTCTGAAACACACACGAGAGCATGTATCAAACTGCAGTCAAGAACATGTTGACTGACATTTAAGTGTACAAACAAGCTGCTATAACCACCACGAGATCAGTCAGCTCTTGGCATCCAGAAACAAGTTCTGTCTTCACACAAATGCTGGAAACATTTCAGAGAAGATACAACCAAATTAAGCAGCTGCTAGAGCTGCAGCTAGGGTAAAAGTAACTAGGGAAAAGTGTAACATTAAACCATCTTTATTAGCAGCCTCCTCAAACCTCCAGAGGTATTACAAACACTCCCACAGTTCCTAAAGTGGACCATTTTAACATCAAGGGCTCCCCAGAGTTTAGCAACTGACTTTCTAGTACACATTAGTTCTCAGTATAAACAGAGGCAAGGTGGCTCTTCTAAGAACAATATCAGCAGGCACGTACAGCTGAAACAATGAGATATCAAATACTTACTCAAAAACCTCCAAAGGAACACTGATATCATGAAGTTGCTGTCGACATTTGTCAATATCTTGCAAGCCAGTAACCATAAAATTCCTAGGCGGAAACATTTTTTTTTCTCATTAGCACAATGAAGGCTGTACTTCCTGACAAGCTGCATGAGGTAGAGCTTCTCTTTCAACCACAATCTACTTATGCACTGCAAGTATTAGATAACCTTCAAGTGCCAATTCTGAGAGAGGAAGAGTTGTGCCAACAAGGACGAAGGCCTTCACAGTAGTAGCCCCCTCCCCACAACTTTGCTGTGGCCTCACCAAGGCCTGCCTGGCACCAACACTTGCATCCTTTCAGCACCAGGCTAAGACAGCCCCCAGTGCTGAGGCATATGAAAATAGTCACGGTAAATCTAACGGCTTGATGGACATACCTGTGTCTGGCATTTTGAACCCGTCTGCTCTGCATTAATTTAGCAGCTGAAAGAATACTTAAGACAGAACAGACTAATTCAAAACCAGCCCTAGGCAACCCCCTGTCAAGCTATGGTAAGACTTTTTAACCATTTTAAAATTATACATTATGGGAAATTATTATGGCTGCTTTTACTGTTTTATAGCCCTGATTAGCAATTGTTGGAAACTGCCCAGAAAGGTTCAACTATTAGGCACTAAATAAATTGCTACTATTTCAAATAGCACGGCATCAGAAGTTCATCAACAGGAAAATAGTAACCAGAGAACCATACAAAATAATATCCAAGCAAAATAGCCAGGTGATGAGCTATAGAGCCCTAAATGGTTTAGAACCTGGATATCTGAAGGCACATGTACTTCCCTATGTGTTTGCCCACCCCCTCAGATCTGGGTCCTTCATTGGGAGCCGTCTTTGAAAGAGGTTAAGAGAGTGGCTACCCAGAGAAGGGCCTTCTCTGCGGTGGTGCCCTGTCATGGTACCTGGTTCGCAGAGAGGTTCACCTAGCACTGACAGTGCCAGGCTAAAATCTTTTTATTTTCCCAACATTTTAAGGTTTAATTAACTGGGGTTTTATAGAGGATGTGATGCTGTGCTTTCTACTGTAGTATAGTCCTGAGAATTCAATGCCGCTGAGAATTTAGCTGGGTGAGGGTACCTGGTTGGGGAAGGTGGGTGAGCCCTCCTTCAAATTTTAACAGAAACAAGAATTATGGCCTTTCTCCATACATTGTTTTTTAAACCCTCCAATACAGAGAGTGAGTTTGGTGCCGTTTGCCAGGTCTGTCCCTTCAATGGAGAATCCCTTGAACTGCTACTGCCTATTAAAAACATGGTGCTGAAGCAGAGCTTTGAGAATGCCCCGGGCCAGCCGAAATCAAGCCAGAACTTTCCCTAGAAGGTGTATGGACGACGCTGAGGGTGTCGTACTTTGGGCTCATCGTGCCAAGGCAAGACTCCCCGGAGAAGGCAAACAGGCAAGGAAAAGTCGAGGGCGGAAGAAGAAAAGGAAGGCCATCTGTGAGCGGGCTCGATTCCAGAAAGGAAGTTTATAGGAGCGGAGCAGGGCTGTCCAAGAAAGGGTATTTCGGAGGGCTTTCGCTCCCAGGGATGCCAAAAGGCAAGTCCCAGCCCCCACCAGTGGGAGCCAGTACAGAGGACTGGGGATCCGAGAGAGGCGGGCTCGAGCCCGCTTGGCCCCAGAGCGCCCTGGGCGGCGTTAGGCCGGTCACCGGCCCAGCCCGACCCACCTCGCAGGGTCCTTGTGAGGGTAAAACCGAGAGAAGGGGCGGCCGCGTGTGCCGCGCCGCGTACGAATCCAGCCAAACAGCACGGCCAAAGCCAGTGCCGGGGTCGCCGCCGGCCCTCCCGCACCCCCTGCCAGGCAGGCAGGCCCGTGGCGGGGCCCCGGCGGGCGAGGCCTCCCGAGGAGCGGCGGGGCAGGGGCAGGGGCAGGGGCAGGGGCAGCGGCAGGGGCAGGGCTCACAGCTTCTGGTTGAGGCCCGCCTGGCTGCTGGGCTGGAAGTCGCTGACGATGATGCCCAGCTGCCGGATGTTCTCCACGAACTTCTCCAGGTGCTCTTCCAGCGAGTCGAACTTCTCCGCCATGCTGCCCACCCGGCCCGCGGCCAGCCCGGCAGGACCCCCGCCGCCGCCTCAAGCCGCCCTCCTTGCCGCCGTTGCTAGGGGCGCCGCCATGGATACGCTTCCGCTTCCGCTTCCGGCTCAAGGCCAACCCGCCCGCCAGTCGCGCCTCTGCGGAAACCCTAAGCTCCGCCCCAGAGAGGGTTGGGCCGACCCTCAGGGCGCCTGGTGCGCATGCGTGGCTCACCTTCCTCGGGCCGGCCTTGGCCCCTCCTTTTCAGAACTGGAGGGGCGGGGCGAGCTGCGGCTGTTATGCAGATCCGAGCGAACGTTCGCCGCAGTCCGCTGTGGAGCGCATGCGCGACTGTTCTCGGCTTGGTTCCCTGCTCCACGTGTTCGTGGACCGGGTCGGAATGGGGGTGGCGGGGTGCTCCGCTTGCCCCCATCCCTCCTTCTCCCCCACAAGCTCATGCGTCAAAGGACTGTGCTTTTTGCGGCTCATGAAGGGGACGCTGGTCTGCAAAAGCCTGTGCGTGCAGCCCTTTCCGCAGTGTAAAGTCAGTCCCACGGAGTCACGCAGGGAATTAACTGGGCACGGGATTTACTGCACAGGACCATTAAACAGAACTCTGCTTCAGCGGGAAGGATGTCAGCCGCCCGGTTCTGTGCAGCCGAGACTGAGAAGGAAGCCGGGTCCCCATTAACTGCATTATTCCATGGCATTACCGTAGGTTAGTGGATGAGGTTTGGCGCGGCTGCTTCTGCTGAGAAGCGTGCCCGGGTACCCAGCCTGGGAAGACAGACCCGTGCGCACTGACCTGGGCATATACAGCGTGGAATTCAGTTGCACTCACCGTGTGTGTGTTTACTTAGAAGCCCTCCCCAAACTGGTGCCCTCCAGATGTTTCAGGTGTGACTTTCTGCACAGAATGGAAAGGATCGGCTGTGCTGGGCATTAATGCCCCCAAACACCTGGGGAGCACCAGGTTGGGGAAGGCTGAGCAAGGCTGCAAGGACCAGCCACTCGAATCACGTGTGCAAGGTCGGCCCAGGTAGGGACGAGAGGACTGGAAGAAGAGCTGTTGCAGCAGCGGAACACGAGCTATGCCACTGCAGGGCACAAATGCTGGTGAAATGCATGGATCACATAAATAGCTCAGGCACCCCAAGTTAAGGAGCCCCATGTGTCTGGCAATAGCTTGCTGCGTTCCTGTGACCTCCAGTGGTTCCATCGAGGAAGGACGTTGAGATGTCCGGAGCTCCACCAAGCCTGTCCTGAGAAGGTGAAGAGGCAAAATTCGCTGCCTCACCCCTGTCCTTCTGGCAGTGGCCCAACCGGGTGATGGATCTCCAGAAGACTGGAGGCTTCCATCCAGTGAGGACGCCCCCATCTGCCTTCCCGTGCTCTCCAAGGCTGTTGGCCCACAGATATGGAGCCCACCTGAAGCCCCCTTCCACGCAGCCCATGCGGAAGGCCAGCCCCATAATCATCAAGCAGCACCAGAGGAAAGGGGTGCAGCCCCCTCTTGGGGGATGCCAGGGGGCTTCTCCAGGCAAGATCATTTCTGACCACATTGCTGGAGAAAGGGGAGTAGGTGTGTCGTGATGCAACTGCAGACGCAACCTCAGTGTGGTCAGTGGGTGCTTTTGGGTGGCAAATCCCTGCTGGAATGTTTTCCAATTGGATGTTTTTGGAGGCAAATCCCCATTTGCTGGGCTGCAGTAGTATTAGCAAAAGCACCAGAGGCAGATCTGTCCCTGGACGCCATTTGTGGATTTTCTGGTGCTTTTCCTCTGCCCTCTGGAGCGAAGCGTGCCTAGGAGGCAGCAGCCCATAGCAGCAACCTGCTCCCCTCTCACTGCCCTTGATGCGCTTGGCGTGTAGGGTCATGGTGCCCAGCATAGCTCAGTGGGAAGGCGCATGGCCCGGATGCACAAGGTCACCTGGCCAATTCCTGGCCTCTTCCATTAAGGCTAGGAAAGAATTCTTCCTGAAATGCGGGAACCCTTCTGCCAGCCACAGTAAACAAAATGGGTGTCCCTTTGGATTCTTGGCCTACAAGTCCCACCAGCTCTAGCTTGCTTAGGCAGCGGTGAGGGATTATGGGAGTTATAGGACAAAAAAGGCTGGAGGGTTATGGGTTGCCGCTCCCCCGGCCATATTGGGTGAGAGTGATCGATACTCTCCCTTGGTGCGAGGATTCCAGCCCACAGGAGCTGCAGCTAAGCCCCTGTGTCCAGCCCTTGCTGGAATTCATAGCCCTACTTAATGTGGAGCAAATCAGAAAGGAGACTAAATTGGGCGAAAGAGGCTTCAAGATTGTAATGTGTTATTTTACACCCAAATGGGGCGGATGCAATGGCAAAACTGAGGCTGTCGTCCTTGGATGCACCATGAGAAGGCTAAAGACAAGCATGCCATGGAAAGTTGAAGGCAGAAAAAGGAAAGGAAGACCAAGCGAGAGATGGATGGACTCCATCAGGGGAGCCACAGCCTTGAATTTGCAGGAGCTGAGCAGGGTTTGATGGAATGGACATTTTGGGGGCTTTCATTCTTAGGGTCCTCATTGGTTGGAGAGGACTTGGTGGCCCAGAACAACAGGTGAATGCTTTTGCAGGAGCAAAGAATAATAAAACGATATTATTTATTGTGGGAAAATATACTCGAAGTAAAGGTGGCTCATGATTTTAACGAAATGGACCTTGTTTGGCATCGTGTAGCTGCCAGCATCGTGTAGCTGCCAGCATATCACAGATGAAAATAAAACGCACTTGCCATTTCCGTGTTCTCCTTCCGAAGACTCCTGCCCGAAGCTCTCAGCTCCAGCATTTTCCAGCACGTTGCCCTGAAAATGTTTGGACATTTGCAAATGCTCGCTGCATTTGCTCCGCAGTACCACCTCCCCCACCTTGTTCCATTGGACACATCAAGAATTGTGCTTTTTGGTTTGCATGAAAGGTTGGATTGCTGTACTGCCTCTTATCAGAGTTTCACCGGTGCCTCAATGGTGTGGGAATCATGGTTGTGCGTCCCATAATACCTTTATCTTCATGCATATGTCCACATTGAAAACAGAAGAAAGACTAGGAACTCCCAGCTGGTCTTCCCAAAAGCAAAAAGAGGGAAAAACAATGGCAGTGATTTATCAGAGTTCAGAAAACTAGGTTTAATAAGGAAGTATACTTGGAGTGTGTTACCAAGGTCTGATTTACATCATGTACTGCCCTTGCAGTCTAATTAAAAAGAAAGTTAGACTACAGTAGCAAATGTTGGCGAGTTGACAAATCTGCCATGGAAAGGTTCCACAAGGGTTAATTTGTAAACTGTCCAGAGCCATGGGAAATGGGTGGTATATAAAAAATAAAATAGTTAAATCAATAAATGTGGGAAACGGGCAACAACATCTCTTCAGGCCTTGAACCTTCAATGAATACTAGATCTCATGAAGGAATACAAGGGCAAAAACACGGAAAGACCGTTTCGCACGTTACATGGTGCAGTAACGGCCAACCGCGGGGCTTGGATGAGCGTTCCCGTGAAAATATTTTCAAGTAGCTCTTTGTCACATCCACACTTTATGTTGTAGGTGTATAATTAAAACATTCCAATGGATCCTCAAATTGCGTATGTACGAAAAGGACTTCGACTGTCTGGTTAAATTGCAGTTTCTCCAAGCAGGCTAACTATCCAGAATTGGTGTAAATGTGATGATAGAGCGGCCTGAGAATTCTCTGTAACATTTTTATGTGTACAGAACTGGGGCGTGTTTTTATTATGCAACAAATTTGCAATTAATTATCAGCCGAGTGCCTTTTGAAACCCAGGAAGAGCTGAGCTTGCAATAACTGAAGCAGAAACAGTTTGGGACGATCACACAAGATATAAATCTCGCCTTCTCCCAATTGCAAGCATTTCAAGCTGCCATATTGATCAAAGGAATGACATCAATATTCCATAGTACTTTATTTTCCTGAAGGTAAATCAATACTTTATAATATCTGGCAGCATTTACAAATGCCAGGAACTGATGGTTTCACCATATTTCCTGACCGTTTCCTTTTTCTGTGAATAACTCCAGAGCACTTTTTGTGTCATCTTCTCTGCTGTCTTCGTGCATCTGATATTTTTTATTACTTTTCCTTGTATTTTTAGACATTCTATGTATCTGCCATCTTCACTTAATAAACAGGCAGGTACGTGTTCTCAGGGTTCTTTGTAATAAAGCCTCACCGGCACTTCATCTGGAAGATTAGATCAGGAAATGCTTTTCATATTGTTGGAAGTCCTATTTCTCCAGTTCCTGAAGGTTTACACGACGCCCCATGATGTGACCAGAACACGCACAGAATTCCATGCCAAGAAGCAAGGCGCCCAGGCCTAGGACTGCTTCTGGTGCAGCAGTGGGGCTGGGCATGCGAAGCCCAGTTTCAAACTATCGTTTTAATAATTGCCCCCTCAGCTCTTTGAGTGAGGATGCAGGATAGCTGGGTTTAAGCCTCCTGCATCTTCCCTCCTCTGAAACAATTCGCAGCCAGCTTCACCTGCGCACTGACCTACATGCCCAGAGCGGGGCCGGGGCCGGGGCCGGGGCCGGGGCCGGGGCCGGGCCAGCATTGTTTTGCTTGCTTTTGCCTTCTTTGCCCCATGATGCTTTGCACCATGCCTCCGCGACGCTCAGCCACCAGCCGTGCAGAACAGCCCGGAAAGGGTTTGATCGAGCGGTTTGCTGTTGGCTCCCTCAAACCGCACGAGCGAAACTCAGCCAGTAGTTAGCCTTCCGCAATGAATAACCACGGGCTGTGTGGCACTCAGGGCCAAATGCAGCACTGATAGCAAACATCATCGAACCCAGGGGTTGGCAACCTTAAGCACTCAAAGAGCCATTTGGACCCGTTTCCCACAGAAATGCAAACACCGGGAGCCGCAAAACCCTTTTGACATCTAAAATGAAGATAACACGGCATATATCGTTTTTTAACTTTATGCTATGTATAAAAAAACTATAGTATGTTGCATTTATGAAATCAATGAATGATTCTTTCATATAATCTCCATCTGTGAATGGCTCCCTGTGCCTGACTATTTCCTGAGCGGCCACAGAACTAGCATATGTAGTTGGATTTGCAGACTTAATCCACTTCT